TTTCCGTCCTGTAGTCTTCTCTGAGATGCTCACCCTCCTGTGAAATTGACCTTTCACTCTTTCTTTAAAACATCACCTCCTTCATGAAGAATCCAAATTTATATTCATGTGAATCTTTTGACAGAAAGTATCATTTCATTCCTGTGAAACGCAGCTGGGATTTCCTTCTCTTGTCACAAGAACTCACTCAATTCTATGAATCTTTTTTCTTTGTCCGATGTCAAAACATTACAAAGACCCACTGAGACCCTCGTTCAATTGTTATTTGATTTTTGTACGTGACTGTTTGGTGTTTTCCACAGCTCTTGGCCTTCGTTCACACCTGCTACGTCATCAGTACTTTCTCCGATGAGGACGACGGCTGTGAGTATTCCTGATCACGAGTTCATACAGAGATACGACATGGAATCACTCATAACTCCTCTGCATCCTTTGAACTTTTCTGCTTTCTTCTGTTTTACACTTGTCCTTGTATCTGTAGTGTTCAGGTTGTAGTTTGAACGCAGCTCTGCTCATTTTCTTCTTCTTCTTCACCATTTCTCGTAGTGAATTTCATCGGTGATTTCCATCATCCATCCAAACCTCACTTCTTCTTCTAGTAAAAAGACATGTTGGGTAGGTACTGGTGTTGATGGTTCATTCACTGTGCGTCTGCTGAATGTCTGACACGTTTCTTCAACTTTGTTCAGATTATAAATAACTGCCGCAGAGAAGGTTCAGAGACGAACGGGAAGAAGACGGAAACGTTTTGAAGAGATCGTCGTCGTCCGTCAACTTCGGTCGAGTCGTCGATGTCCACGGTCATTGTGTCAATAATATCTTTACCTCAACCATCCAGATGTGTGTGCGTGTGAGTGGCCAAAACACATAAAGCTGTAGCTTTAAGAAAACACTGTCTAATCCCTCGTGTAAATGCGTGATGTGTTCGTTTAGTTAGAAGAAAGTCGTGTCCAGTTTTTTTAGTCTATAATACTGTGTACTGTTTGGGAATCAACATACGTCGGAAATACAGATCGCAGTACATTACATTTCAGAGTAAAACATGTCACATTTTGTGTATTTATTTTTCTGAGAATACCCACTTGTCTTAACTGTATTGTCTGTGTTATCTAGGCTTCTTGTTATAATGTATTAAACACACGTACTGAAGGTGGAACTGATGTCCCATTTTTACCAGGAACATGAATAATTCCCCCTGGTGGTTTTATTTTTTAAAAATTTAAAAAAAAAAAAAAAAACTAAATTTTGCTCTACTTTGTAACAGTGAATTTGGAAGATTTTGTTTTGTAAATTTGTTTGATTAAGAATAAGTCACACAGTTATACAATTTATCAGGCTGTAAATGTGGAAAGTTTAATGTTTTGTACATTAAATTCATATTTCAACCAAATCAAACTTAAACCAAGGTATTTACACTACACACACACAGAAATAAATATAATAAAAACATAATTCAGATCGAAATAATAATAAATAACAGGATAATAAGAACTGGCAGAGTTTGACAAACTTGAAGAATACAAAGCTAAATGTTATAATGGAGGCTAAAGTTATCAACCTTTACATTTAGGATATTGTAACATTCCTACTGAAGCAGATGATTCAAAAATTATTTTTATAAAAACTGTCGTTTCATAAATGACTTTTCCAATAATTAATAAAAAATCAAACTTGTCTTAGGGCCGTTAATAATTTAATCACCAATCTGCTTTGTTGCTGTAGCAGCATCGGACGCGTCTTCCACGGTATTTACGTCACTTCCGCCTCCAATATCCCGGATGAAACTGCCATTGGGGCCAGTAAGCAGGGCCACAGACACTGGTCAGAATTCATAAACCGGTAAAAGGGGGTCGAAGGAAATCGACGCCCCGCAGGGTTGATGTGGACGGGACAGCGCGGAGCTGCAGCAGGACTGTGATAATAACAAAGCGTCTGCTCCGAGCAGGGACAGCGGGTAACAGGCGAAGGCTGCACGGTTAGCACAGTGACGCGGAACAGCTTCCCCGGCTCTTGGCCTCTCACACGGCGGACACTCAAAACGTCTTGCCGGAGTTTAATTTTACAGCACTTGGTGGATGAATGATGTCTGCCGCCAGTATCGACCCTCAGGTAAGCAGGGGAGGACACACTCTTAAATTCGGTTAGGTTTTTTTTGTTAGAGTAAGGTGTTCCGAGTGCTACTCCAGAAGACGATGCCACTGTTGGCCGCTAGTCAGCTAGTTAGCTACCTGAGCTTAGCTGCACAACTGGTCAATAACGAAGGCCCGGAGCTCTGCTTCCACTGACCGGTGAATATCTACATCAACCACAGCACTTTGTGACCATTTCAGTTTATGTTTGTGTCCATATATTTGATTATAACTTTTAAATATATATATATATGACCGAATCTCAGTGCAACGCTGTGAATGACACCCGTGACCCACGCAAAGCTTTCATCTTTTCTCTTTCTTTCACACGCATTCCTTCTTCACAACATGACAAACAAGACATCGAAGGGACAAGATGCAAGTAAAGGTAAGAGAAAAGCACGGTTATTCAGTCATATTTCACCATCTTAAACACACACTCACACCCCCCCGCCCCCACCCCCCCTCAGTAACAGAATCTGCACCGATATCCAAACCCCATTAATCTGTAACACCGGGGCGACAAGTCCACGGTATGATAATTACTGCAGTAAAACAGCTACGAGTACTTTAATAAGTCCTTCCAGCTGTGGTTAATGGACACGGACGATGACGACCGTCTGTAGTGATGAAGTCACTCGCTCTGTGACAGTGTTTTATATTTTTGGTGAAGCATCAGTTACTGAGCATCTGAATCTTTCATTGTCCAACACGGAAAATGGCTGCAGGTCATTGGCTAGAAATATATATATATGTATGTGTGAGTGTGTGTGTGTGTGTATAAAAACACACACAGAGATGTATTTATATATATTCATATATGCATCTTGTGATCTTGTAGAGTCTGGTGCTGTCAAAGGGAGGTGGTGTTGTTAATGCCCCCCCCCCCTTCCCCACCGTGACCCCCACCTCTTCATCCATCCATTTCTTTGTTTTAAGTGAGAATTTACTGTATGTTAATGTACATTATTTTGTCTTCTTTAATTTTTTTTGTTTGTCTTAAAAACAAGTTTCAAATTAACAACAAAACCATTTAAACAAAAACATCAACCAGTCTTAAATAACTTCCAAGGGAAAACAACTTCTTTATAAGAAATATGCTTAAGCCAAACTTTAAACTATTTTTTTTCAACATCTAATGCTCGACAAAAACACTATAATAAGTGTAAAAAGACTAAAATCTAAAATTCACAATTGTCAGTGACACTACTGTCTCTTTGTTCTTGGTTAACGCTCAGGTGTAGTTGCATTTTTGTTATGCGTTAAAATAGCCAGTGAAATAATGGACGGTTGTGTCTTTTGTTTACACCTGCAGTGACATTAAATTACTGTTACTGTGTAGTTAAAGACCTGGTTAATTAAGGTGATGTTTATGTCGTCGTACCCAGTGTTTGACCTCACGGTTCATCTTTACTGTAATTTTGGAATCTTATTTCCTCGCAGTTAGTATTTCAGGATCTGATCAGTTCTTTTGCTTCACTCATTTTTATTTATTTATTTAAATTTTTTAGCACTTTATCTAATATGTGTTGTTGTGAGACAAATCTGGCAGTGATCTAATCTCCGATTTCACAAATAGTCTGCACAGTTCACACCCAGAAGCTTCGCACAGTACTGACTTCTGGTCTGTGATCGAGAAAAATTTAGTGATGTGAAACAAACATGAGGATCCACGTTGTTCACGGTACAAGTGGACGTGTGTGGGGTCACAGTTAAAACACAGTAATGATGAGAAGTAACGAGCTCTTTACCTCCTTTACATGGTTGTGACGTTGAAAAGTATCAAACGTTCGTTTACATGTGGAGGTTTTTGCCCAGGTTCTCACTGTGTCTCCTCTGTGTTCAAGCCTTTCCAGTGTCAGTGCAGAATGGCTCTCTCCACCAGAAGGACACGGTCCACGACAATGATTTTGAGCCTTATCTTACTGGCCAGTCCAACCAGGTGGGGAAGAAAACGTGTCATTTCAATCAGTCACATGACTGTTCCTTTTTTCACTGTCCTAACGGTTTGGTTTTTGTGTTTCTTTTTCTTTTTTTTGTAGAATAACAGCTATCAGTCCATGACAGATCCTTACCTGTCCAGTTACTACGCCCCCTCCATCGGTTTCCCTTACCCTCTCAGCGAAGCCCCTTGGTCAACAGGAGGCGACCCGCCCATACCCTACCTGACTCCTTATGCCCCGCTCAGCAATGGAGACCATCACTTCATGCACGACACCGTGTTTGGGCAGCCGGGGGGGCTCAGCAGCAGCATCTATCCTCACAGGTTTAACTTTTTCCCAGAAAACCCAGCTTTTTCTGCTTGGGGCACGAGCGGTTCCCAGGGCCAGCAGACTCAGAGTTCAGCCTACGGGGGGAGCTACAGCTACCCGCCCAGCTCTCTGGGAGGCACCTTAGTACCAGAGAGTCAGACAGGGTTCCACAGTGACACTCTGAGCAAGGCCCCGGGCATGAACAGCCTGGAGCAGGGGATGCTGGGACTGAAACTAGGCGGGGAAGTGACCGGAAGTGGCTCAAGTGTGAAGGGTGGAGGCTCTGTGATCGGTGGGGGCGGCAGCGTGGCGGCCATTCCCACGGGCAACGGCGGGACACCGATCGGGATGCCCCCGCCCAAGCCTACGTCATGGGCCGCAATTGCGAGTAAACCTGCCAAGCTGCAGCAACAAAAGACCAAGAACAAGCCCGGCGCCCCCCTGATTGGAGGAGGAGGTCTGCCTCCACCCCCAATCAAACACAACATGGACATTGACACGTGGGATAATAAAGGGACTGCTACAAAGATAGGCCCTCCACTGGCGCACCACCACCACCACCACCACCACCAACAGCATCAGCCACAGCTCCACTCCCACGCCCCCAGTCTAATCCCCCCCCTACAACAGTCCATTCAGTCTGCTCAGTCCCTGGTGCAGCAGATGACCATGCAGGCTCCGCCCCCTCCTCCTCAGTCTTATCACAACCACAACTCTGCTCCCACACCTCAGACCCGCTGGGTTGCCCCGCGCAACCGTAACCTGTGCTACGGCGGCGGGAGGCTGGGCAGCAGCGGCTCCTCCCCCCGCGGGGGGGCCGCTGAAGCG